CGAGTGGGGGCGGCGGGGGGGGCGTGCGGGTTCGTTTTGATCATTTAAAAAAAACAGTGTAGCTACTGCTGTGTTTCAGAATTAAGCAAATCCAGGCTGAATTTTATATATGTTGTGCAGTTTTTTATTCTCTACAAAACAGTAAAAAAGTATTTGAAGGAAAATTTTCCGCTCAACACGAAAAATGGTTTATACTGTCTAATTTTCCATGGTTTTCGATAGGTTTTCAATAAAAAATAAATCTCTTTACCCGCTTTCTTTCTCATATAGTAATGCTATAACAAAACAAATATTATATTCGGAATCGGCATGAAAAACTATATCCAATCATATATGAAGCCCAAAGGTTTTCCCTGCCCAAATTCACCTGTTGTCCAGGACAGCTATGTTGAGAAATAATTTTTCTTCCTGGTTCCACCCACCCCCGACGTCAATTTTAGGCAGAAAAAAGCTTTGGGCTGAAATAAACCCCCACACTGAAAGAAAAAGGTGCCAAACGAAACTTTTGAGGTTCCGTGGAGCATTACTGTACTATATAGATTTCCATAAAATCAGACGAAACCTGTGTGAGGTTTAGTAACATCCAAGGTTTTGGGTGTGGGTGTATGAATGAGAAGACTCTTACCCACACCCACTCCATACCCTTATAAGGTAGAATATCTATAATTACAGGGTGTCAAAAAATCTTTACGCCCCCTCCCCTTGACGACCTAATGAATCAATAATATAATCAACTATTTTATACCAGATTAAAGCCCGTCAAAAACTGCATCTAAGGGTGTAATTAAAGTAAATAGTAGGTAAGCAATTATCAAAATACCTTGGACCACATATCAAAATGTCGTAAATTATACAATCTCGAGTCTAGGAAAGAACTATCGTACCACTCACCGAATCAAATTGTGAACCATACAGCTTCCAATTTATTAGCAATATAAAATGCTCACAAATAAGCGTTTATGACAAAGTTCAGAAATTTGTATGTCCTCCTGCAGCAGCTGTGAGAGCATCAAATGTTTTCCTCATTGAACATAGCAAATCAATAAAAAGATCTGTATCATTTTCGAGATCCTTAAGTGTATTCTCAACATTAGTTTTGAGAATATAATAATTGTATCTGTCTTGACGATCTTCACTTGCCATTAATTCTTCAAGTTTATCTTTGATAATTGCACCAATGCTTTCTGCTGGGTTCATATCAGAGCTATTGTCGGTCCAAATCGAATTTCCCCAGAACTTCACCCCCTCATCTTCCAAAAGATGCTGTGTTGCATTGGCCTTCATACAAGGTGCCTTATCATGAAGAAATATAACTTCATTTGTTTCAAGAACATTGGTTGGATCACGAAAAAATGAAATTACATGTTGTTGCAGAATAATCCCACGAAAATAGGCTCCATCCCAAGATTGCCCATGTTCCTTCAGAGCCCAAAGAAGTTTCTTTGCAGTAAACATAATAAAAATTCCGATGCATCTCGCATCCTGAACCTTTTCACGATACCTTTCATCGATGCTGATATCTTCGATATTTTTTGCCCAAATTCTGTCATTTTGGTGATTTGATTTTCTTACCGCATAAATATAAAATTCATCCGAAGGTACGACATGCAGAAAATCCTCTTCAGTCCAATCAGCAACAAAATCTGCGAGCCATTTGCGATCTTCAATATGCGTATTTGTCTTCAATGGCTTTGCGATCACATGGAAAGGTTTTAATCCTTGCCGATGGCGTTCATGATGAACAGTCACATGACTCACTCGCTGTCCTGTTTTCTCCAAAATTTCTCATCCAACCTTTCAAGAGCCACTTCGCCTAACACCACTTGCAGAAGTAATATTGTTTTTGCTCTCCTGGGAGAGTACCTGAGGTCGACCACGTTCGAATTGTGTATAACACTCCTCGGTTGTTTTATTCCAATGTCGCCTAACCCAATTTTCGCTACGGCGGAGCTTTTCGAAAATTCATTGATGAGTGATAAATGAGTTTCCTTTTGTTGCAATCATTTCATCGCGTATTTCACGATATGTGATGCAAGGAATTCTGTCCACAAACCGTTGCTCTTCTGAATCATGAAGAAGACTAGGCATTTTGATTCAATAAATTGATGTGTCACAGGCTTGCTTTTATCTTAATAATATTTAATTCAACTTTTAGTGCCATCGAAACAGTTAGTTGCACGAACAACAAGCACACAGTAAAGGAAAGAAATGAAGAAACTCGAAACAGTGCTTACGGTTACTCATTCTCTTTTCTCTACATTCTTTTGTTATCTGTCCATGCATTATGCACACATAACCTGCTTCTCATCCTTTTCTCTATTTCTCCTCCTCGTTGTTAGTCATGGATACTGAGTCCTTTTCGATTAACAACAAACACGTTATCCAGTTCGTGCATGTGTTTCGTAATAGTCGAACATAATAATTGCGAACAAGAACTATATCAAGTAGGTAAGACTCTGCTGTAAGAGAAGACATATTTAATATCATTTCAAACGGAAGTAAGCTACAATCCATCAACAAGTAATTAATGAGTGAAGAAAGAGGCGTAATAGTTCTTTCCTAGACTCGAAATTGTATAATTTACGACATTTTGATGTGTGATCCAAGGTATTTTGATAATTGCTTCGCTACTATTTACTCTAATTACACCCATAGACGCAGTTTTTGACGGGCTTTAATCTGGTATAAAATAGTTGATTATATCAGTGATTCATTAGGTTGTTAAGGGAGGGAGCGGTGTAAAGGTTTTTTAACACCCTGTAGAAGCAACAAAATGGAAAACATACGTAATAGCAGCAAACAATAAAAGACAATCAAACAAAAGAAGAGAGCACATGAAAACAATAATAGAAATCAACGATAGTCTACCGATAGCTCGACCTTCACCAACAGGTCTAGGACCACCTGCACCACTTGATCTAAGTGATTTTGCAGAATTATTTGATAAATGGTTACCTGATCTAGTACCGGGTCAAAAAAGAAAGTTAGGTCATCGAAGGAATGACCCATCAACGACACAATCACCACGACAACAACTCCCACCCATCATACCCAGAAAAACACTACCACTTAGAAACCTTAGTGCACCACTTATTCGAGGATCTCTTCGAGCATCTCCAATCTCGAATAAAATAACAAACGATGGAAAAAAACAACATTCCTTTCATGCACTTTTCCCCATTGAGAAACAAAACCAAAGAGAACAACAGCAGCAACATATACGAACATCAAACATAATCGTACCATCAACAGACGAGCAATCCATAACAATATCACTCCTACAAAGTTCAACATCAGAATCGATGATAGGATCACCACCAATAATACCAAATACAACCACAGAAACATACAATAATTTTGAGTTTCAGATAACACCGGTCGAATGTAGATATCATTTTAAAAGAATGAGATAACGATGTACATTCGAAGCAATAAGAGCTCATCAGGAATATCTCGAAAGACAATATAAAACATTAGAGAACGAGAGAGAAAGAGTGTTGCATTCAATGTTCTCTGAATATATAAGAACCCAAGTGGTTACATTTGTAAAGAAGAAAACCAAAAAAGTGCTAGAAAACAAAAAGAACAGTGATGAAAAGCGATTGGATAATCTGCTAATGGATCAAATGAGAGAAAAGGCAATACAAGAAATTGAACAAATAGGAGTGTTATGCTTTTCTTTTCTTTTTATTAAGTTAAGGGAAAAGTGTGAGGTCAATGAAGGAAAAACATAACCCTCTTTTATTTGTAAAGATAAACTATATCTAATACAGTGTGTGTCACACATATATACGTATATCAAAAGAAAGGTAAAGAACAACAAAAGAAAAGATGGCACGAAAGAAAAAAATAAACATTTACAGAGATGTAGATGTCATATCATAACACCCTTCCCGGATAATGAAAAAAGTTTTTGTTTGCAAAACACTTTTTTTTTGAAGGACGGGATTGAGAGAGGAAAGAAGAGAGGTGAACAAAAAATAAGAAAACATCTGACATAATAACATGACAAGAGATGCACCAAAGAAAAAAAAGAAAAAAACAATAGAGATAAATGTTCACATAATATCATGAAAAAAATATATATAAAACATAGACAAGGAAAAGAGAAAACTATAGAGAAAAATCTGACAATGAAAAAATGCAACAATAGAAAAAAGAAAAAAATGTTTATCATTGTTGTTTATTCTTGTACATTATTGGATTTTCTTGATAAATGTCGAGCTTGACAACGAAACAAATAATAATGATGTTTATCAAATATATCACCGGGTAGTCTTCGTTCATTTTGTTGTTTAATTATTTTGTTTTTTACTCCAATAATTAATAAATCTTCAACTGATTTGACATGACTATAATGAATATTATATTCAGCAAGAATGCGTCGGACTAATTTCATTGTAAATTGACAATAGGATGGACAGGTGATAAGATATTTATAACGTCGCATTCGGAAATAAAGATTTCTTTTTCGATTTCGTCGTTTGCGAGCTTCAGCTGACCGTGTTCCACTATGTAACTGACGTTTCTTGGTTAAACATTGTTGTTGTTGTTCATAATCACTGACATCATCAACCATATCATGGTTGTTGACATTTAAATCATTATCATTTGGTGGTAAAGCTGGATTTGCGTCATTATCATCATTTGAGATTTCTTTATATAACATATCATTATTAATAGTAATCTCAATACATTGATTAACTGTTTCTTCATCATCACTGTCTTCAGAAATAAATTCAATATCATTATCGATAACATTTTTAAAAATTTGTTGATTAATATTAGTCTTTATAATATTGTTATATTCATGATGTAATGATGATGATGGTGGTGTAGATCATGATGCCTGAAATAGATCAACAACATTAGTATTTTTTACCTTTTGAAATGTTCAATCTTCTAAAACTGGACGGGCTAAATATGTTGTCGTAAAACAATCATAAATTGCATAACGTAGCATTTTTCCTCGTTTTGTTGTTCATAATGTTGAATGATGTGGATCTAATCCTCTTGCCCAATGATTAACTGTCATTGATTTATCAATAAACATTTGACAGGCGTAGATTAAGGCTTCTTGAAGTCCCCATTTTTCTCCAGGCCAATAAGGACTTGCTTCATGACACATACATTTTGAAGATGATTTAATATTTGTATTTGAATTAACATCATTAATAACATTATGTTGAAGTAATGACGGGTTACATACCTCACAATGAGATAGAGCCCGATTATACCATTTACTAAATTCAAGTTGAATATCAAATATTGGTGATTTAATAGGCCACTAGAACAATTCATAATTCACAGCCGGATATATTTCTTTTCTTAGTGGTCCCCACGAATATAATTTGTTTTCTGATTGAAATATCAATTGAAATAATTGTTTAAGGACACCCCCGGCTTTCAAAAAAGTTCTCCAAATTCGATGAAATTTGGGCTGCTAATAGGGGTCACTGAGATACATCGATGGTAAAAGTTTCAGCTCAAAAAGCTTTGATACAGCTGAGTTATAGCGAGAACATGACAT